CCAGCCTGGGGGGAGGTCCGGGGGGGGAGATCTGGTGGAGGCTTCCCCCAGGCCTCCCAGAGGCCTCCCCCAGCCTGGGGGGAGGTCTCCGGGAGGCCTCCCCCAGACCTCCCGGAGGCCTCCCCCAGGCCTGGGGGAGGACCAGGGGAGGCCTGCCGGAGACCTCCCCTGGTCCTCCCGGAGACCTCCGTCGTCCACGAGCCCTCCTCCGACGGCCGCGACCCCAGACCTGGGGGAGGTCTGGCGGAGGCCTCCCCCCAGACCTGGTGGAGGACCAGGGGAGGCCTCCTGGAGGCCTCCCCTGGTCCTCCACCAGGCCTGGGGGAGGTCTGGTGGAGGACCAGGGGAGGTCTGGTGGAGGCCTCCCCTACCTCGCCGGAGGGCCTCCTGGGAGGTCTGGTGGAGGACCAGGGGAGGTCTGGTACCAGACCTGGTGGAGGACCAGGTAGGTGTGGACCCTTACCGAAGAGGAGGAAAAGCAGGAGGAGGAGGAATAAGCGGAGGAATTGGAGGGCGAAACACGGCGAGGTCAAGTACTTGTGGCTTGACTGGCCGTGCATGTGGCAGGCGAACAAGGATGAGATGAGGGCTGTTTGCGACACCAGTAGTTGGCAGTTGGGGGTGCCCTCGTCGCGACGGCTGGACGCAGCGCGAAAAACGTGTGCGATTGGACCCCAGGAGGGGCGCTGGGGAATTCTGTGGAGCCGATTTCGAACTGTCGTTGTCTCAAATTCCCCCTCTTTGAAAGGAGGGCCAGCGTGAAATCACTGTCGACGAGAAGGCCGAGTTCGACCTCATGCTCAGCGAGGTCAACATGCTGTACCTCGGTTGCAGGGTCGTCATCTTGCTGGACATGACTTACTTGTCCAGGTTTTGGACACTGTACGAAGCGTGGCTCTCCCAAATGAAGCCAACTTCGACAGGGCTCAAGCCAGCACTCATCTCTGACGCTTCACGCTGCGACGTGGTTCCCATCATGGGAGCGAACGATGCGTTCAGGTCAGCGCTCCTGAGCACCATTGCGAATCAGATGCCTTCGGCGTCCCTTGCTGCCAAGTACCTCCGTAACGACGACATTTCGGTAACGAACGCCTCGGACAAGGAGAAGCAGCTCGATCGGGTGAGCGGGCTCGACTACCGTGTCATCCAGGTCGAGATTGATGCTCAGGCAGAGGCAGGGAGCACAGTTCAGATGCAAAGAGTCCTCGCGGCCGGCTTTTGTCACAGCCTGGGCCTGCTGAAGGACGGCACGGTCACCGCCTGCGGCCTGGACTCTGACGGCCAGAGGTCCGGCGTGGCCAGGACCGGTGCAGGCGTGCAGTTTTGGAGCGCCCTCCTGCGAGGGGTGAGGGGCCGAGCCTCTCCAGCGAGAGCGTGGAAGAGGTGGCGGCCGAGGGCTCGAAGGAGAACGAGCCACACAAACATAGACTTGTGGCGCTGCGCGCGGATTTCTTGGATCCCCGCCTCGAGGATCGCGCCGCATCGCCGATGCATCGGCAATGCGGCTCGATGTGGGGCCTGATTTTCTCCACGTCGGCGGGCGATGGGGGAGAGTGAGAAGGAGAAGGCGTTCTCAGACGGTGCGGAAGTCCCCTGGCCTTCTGAGAAGTTTTCTGAGCTTCCCCCGAAGACACAGAGCACTTCTCAGAAGGCGGAGGGCTTCTGAGAAGACCCGCCGCCTTCTGAGAAGGCCTTCCCCTTCCCATTTCCCCCCTCGCTCGCCGCCGACATGCGCTTTCGCAGTTCCGCGCAGATTTCTTGGATGTGCGCCGGGCCGCCTCTGGCGGCGCCAGCTCGGAGGAGAAGACACGGCATGAACACAAACTTTCGGAGGTCCGCGCGGAGTTTTAGGATCGGCGCTGGCAGCGCCTCTGGCGCCGCCCCTGGCGCGCTCCTCGCGCCTGCGAGGGGTGGCCCAACGCCGATCCAAGAAATCCGCGGGGACCTCTGGAAGTTTGTGTTTGCGGTCGGACCGAGGTCTACGAGCGAGGACGGTTCGTGGAGGGCGCCCTGATGTTCTTCGTGTTTGTTGGATGTTCTTGTGTCTCCTGGGAGAGGGTACCCTCGAGCGTTCTTCAGTTTAGCCGGCGGAGGTTCTCATGTTCGTGCAGGATGTTCTTCTGTCCCAAGTCTGGCCGCATGCCGTTTCGTGTCCCTCTAGAAGTGGCTCGGCAACGGCGGGGGTCGCATCAGGGCCCTCGCCACACCTATGGCGCCGAGATCTCGCCGAAGGCCGCGCGTTTCCCCCGAAGTGCCGACCACGGCAATCTCCGGTTGCGGTGGCAATCGGCAGGCATTTTTCGGCAGCGCCGGCATGTTCGAGGTTCTGAGCGTAGCTGCTGACTTCTAGCGTTCGAGCCAACACTCAGCGCTTCTAAGCCACGTTCGTAATTGATGTGTATGGGCCTAAGGCTTGCTGAGCCTCATGCGGTTTGAAGACATATGTTTCACCGGGCAAGCGCCGCCAATCGTGATCGAACTTATTCGCAATGCGTAATCATCGTAAGTGCGGGTATGCCAGTCTGAGTTTTCAATCAAGGTGGGCATCATGTTTCATGGGAGTTCGTCCTGCATGTCTGTTTGGTCTTCTGAGCTGACACTTTCCGTGGCAACCCGACGGCTCGCCCACAGCCGGTGAGCCCTCTCGTTTTTTCGGGTTGCTTGGAGCGTCTGCGTGGCACGCGCTTGTCTGGCGGCAGGGCAATGCCGAGAACAAATAATGCCTTCTGTGAGCGGCTGCGGGCAATCGGCGAGTGCCTTAGAGGCTGGGTAGATGTGTTGACGTTTTGAAGCCGCTCCCACAGGGAATCATACCCAGTGTTCGTGTCGTGCGTGACATGCGTGGAGCTGCGCGCCAATTGCCCAGGCCGTCAGTGTGGATGGCGGGAAAAGCTGTTTCTTATCAAGTTCCCAGCGAAGGGTGTCTGTCGTCTGTGGTTTGGCGATGGTGTTTCGAATGAATTTCAGTGATGTCCTGATGGTGCCCGAGTCATGTTCAATAGTTTCCCGCTGTTCTCTGGATGGTGTTGCGATTGATTTGCGATGATATCCCGATGACGTTTTCCATCGATGGTGTGCCGATGCGTGTCCGGAGTGTGTCCCGATTGCTTGGTTCGATGGTGCCCGGATGGCGCCCCGATTGGCTAACAATTGTGCCTGGAGGGTGTCCCACTGGAGGCGTGTGCCTTTGGCGCCCTGCTGGAGCTCATGTGGAACTGATGCTCACACCGCCCCCTACAGTCAAATCGGATCACAGTTGTTTTACGTCGCAGCGCCAGCGCGGCAGAGGCAACCCGCCCGCGCGCTCGAGGGGGTCGGGCTAAGACACTGCACGAGCTGTCCGGCTGCAGGGGGGGAAGTCTTGAGCCGGGCGTGTTCCTCTACAGGAGGAGTATGGAAAAGTAGCCCAAAAATAGTCAGGGAACGATTTGTTCTTGATCGTTTACGGCTATTTGGAAATATGTTTAGGGTACTTTGTATTTTTCTCGGGGGAGCGTAAGACCCGGGTTTGCCGGGACTCGGGTTCGCCATCGTTTTTTGACGACCGCGACTCGGATTTTGACGAGGAGGAGTTTCGTGGGATGTCTGCAGCGGGAGGCCTCGTCAAAATGCAGGCTCGGCCTCGTCATTTTTTTGACGACCTCGTCGGGGATTTCCGAGTCCCCCGTACCCGGGTCTTACGTCTCCCCGATTTTCGTCCAAAATCCGCCTGTAGGGGGGCATGCCCGACCTGAAGGAAGTGGGGAGGAGGGCGGCCGCGAAGGGCCAGAAGGAGAGAGGAGGGCACTCACGGCGCGGAGGCGCCAGGATTCGGGAGGGGAAAAACACACACAGAGACACAAGGGATCGCCGACTCGCAGGAAAACGTGGGCAAATATGGGAAGTGTGGGGGGAAGACGAAGTCCCAGAAAGCATGGGAGAAGATGGGGGATCTGGTTATTTGTGTGTGTTTTTGTTTGTGTGTGTGTGTGTGTCCTGGGGCCCCTTCAAGGATGTCAAGCAGGATCTCACGGGGATGAGTAACCAGTTACTCCTGAGAGTAACATTAAGTCGGGCCTGTCCCTCTACAGGAGGAATCTTCCCAAATAGTCAAACATAGTCTGGGGACGATGTGTTTTGCCATTTTGGGGTGTTTTTTATATTTTTGTTATCTAGTCTTAATTTCTCGTCCAAAATCCGCCTGTAGGGGGACACGCCCGACTTAAAGCTACTCCTGAGAATAACACCCGGGGGATAATACAGTTCGGGGTCCTGAGGGGGTAACAGACGATTTGCCCCGGCACGTCGACGACGACGACGAGGATGTTCCGGTCGGGAGGGCGCGAGCAGCCACGGCTGTGGAGGAGCAGGAGCAGGGAGGAGGAGCAGGAGGAGCAGAAGGTGCCCAGAGAGCAGGAGTAGGGATGGAGCAGCAGGAGGAGCAGGAGCAGGGAGAGGAGGGGGAAGGAGGAGCGGGGATAGCCCAACGTTCGTGACTTTAAGTCGGGCCTGTCCCTCTACAGGGGGAAAATGAAAAAATAGTAAAAAAAAATAGTCTGGCGACGATGTGTTTACTATTTTTTAGTATTGCCTGAACATTGTGGGGGTGTTTTTGTTTATTCTTCCAAAGTCCCCCTGAAGGGGGACAGGCCCGACCTAAGACTTGCGAAAGCTGAAATGTTGAGAACCCCACCTCCATGCCACACGTTTTTGATGATGCTGCTACTCAACATAGAAGATATCGACTTCGATTCACAATGTTCCCCTGGGATAATACAGTTCGGCCTTGCCGCCCCTTTTCCCAGACCAACTCTGTCTTGGCTGGAGATAATCATCTCTCAATCGGGAAGGGGGGGTGATTGATTATCGGGGGCATTCGGCTAGTGTTCCAAAGGCGCCCTTTCGTCTTTGATTTTTCCTTCGGTCCGTGCTTAGTTGACCACTAGCACTGGGCATCTTCGCTCCAGAGGCTTCAACTTCGGCGTCCAAGGTCCCTGCATCTTGACCGCGCATCCCTGTGATCCTGCGACCCTCTACCCCCAACCTCAGTATCGGCTGCACGTTCGGCGATACCCAGTGTACCATCTTGTTATGTGTTAGTACACATATTTTCGTACGTACATACACACATTAATATACATGCATGTATAAATATTCATATATAGTAATGCATGCATGTGTGTATGCATGAGTGTTTGCAAATGTGTATGTATGTATGTATGTATGTATGTATGTATGTATGTATGTATGTATGTGTGTATGTGTGGTTGTGTGGTTGTATATGTGTCTGGCCGTACATGCGTATGTATGCATGCATGCGTGCATATATGGTTGTATGTATGTGTGTGTCGGTATGCCTGCATACATGCATGCATACATGCATGTATGTATGTTTAAAGTCTGTTAAAACGGTGTGTCTAGTTGTATGTGTGCATGTGTGTATGTATATGCACAAATAAGTATGTGTGTGTATGTATGTAGGCATGTGTGTGATGTGTGCATGTATGTGTGCATGCATTCAGGATTGTATGCGTGTTCGTGTTTATGCATGCATGCATGTATGTACATTTTCATGTACGTATGTGCATATACGGTTGTGGGTATATATATATATGTGTGTGTGTGTGTGATTGTACCTGTGTAAATATGTATGTGTGCATGCATGTGTATGTATGCATGTATGCATGCATGTATGTGTGTATGCATGTATGTATGTATGTATGTGTGTATGTGTGTATGTATGTATGTATGTCTGTATGTATGTCGGTAGGTAGGTAGGTAGGTAGGTAGGTAGGTAGGTATGTATGTATGTATGGATGTAGGTAGGTAGGTAGGTAGGTAGGTAGGTATATATGTATGTATGTATATATGTATGTCTATATAGGTGTACATAAGTATGGATGTATGTGTGCATGTGAGTGTATGCATGTGTATTTGTGTATGTGCGTTGGTATGTATGTATGTATGTGTATGTATGTGTGCATGCATGCACGCATGAAGCTACGCTTGTGTATATGTATGTATGAATTTAAGCATGTATGTATGTGGCTATGTATGTATGTACGCATATGTGTATGCATGTATGCATGCATATATGTCCAAGCACGTCTGCTGCACGCGAGGAGGTAGAGAAGACGCACGGAAGGATGAGCAGGAGGGCGCCGGTCTGCATCGCGCCTCCGCGCAGAGGCCCCGCATCCTGCGCGCCGAGTCCCTCGAGGCTCGGGCCCCGGGCCGGCGGCCCTCGGCGACCCTCTGCGCCCAGCGGCGGCAGGAGGAGGAGGAGGAGGAGGGGCTCAAGGAAGAGGAGGAGGAGGAGGAGGAAGGAGGAGGAGGAGGAGGAGGAGGAGGAGGAGGAGGAGGAGGAGGAGGAGGAGGAGGACGGAGGAGGGGCTCGGGGCTCAAGGAAGAGGAGTAGGAGGAGGAGGAGGAGGAGGAGGACGGAGGAATGGCTCGGGGCTCAAGGAAGAGGAGGAGGAGGAGGCTGGGGTTCAAGAGACGGGGGTCAAGGAAAACGGGGGCCAGTGAGGGCGCCGGATCTTGCGGGATCCCGCAGAGCCAGTGCACTGACCCAGGCTTGGGTGCAGGATCCTGGAGGATCCTGCAGGATCTTGCAGGCCTGCAGGATCTTGCAGGATTCTGCAAGGCCTGACTGACCTGGGTTTGGATTGACCCAGTTCCGTAGATCCCCGTAGGACCTAGACACCTAGAACACGGCGGGAGGTTTTTGACAGTTTTCGGCTTCGGGGGCCCTCGTTGGGTCCTGGGACCGTCCACAAAGACGGCTCAGGGTGAGAAACCGGCCCCGCGGAAGGGGTCGGGATTTCCGGGGGCCCCGTATCGAGAAAATACAGACATTGCATGTCTGAGGAGTCGAGGTTCGCAGGTTCGTTCATGGTTCGAGGAGCTGCGAGAAGGAGGAGGAGGAGGAGCAGCAGGAGGAGGAGGAGGAGGAGGAGGTCGAGAATGAGGAGCAGCGAGAGGAGCAGGAAGAGGAGGTCGAGGAAAAGGAGCACAAGCGGCGGCAGCAGCAGCAGGAGGAGGAGGAGGAGCAGGAGAAGTCGAGGCTCGTGGGGGCGAGGAGGGGAGGGATGAGGAATCGAAGTTCGAGGGTTTGGGGCGTGTATCGCCGTGTCGGGGGGAGGCGGAGACTGAGCGTCTCGGTGCTGGCCAGCGCATCCCATCCCCCTGGGAGCGGTTGCCGTCTGCGTGCCGCTCTTAGGGGCACTGCCCCGTCCGAGGGGTGGTGGGAGAGGGCGCCAGCCGGAAGCCACGGCCCATCGGGCGGATGAGATGCCGAGGAGCGGGAGCAGCAGGATGGGGGAGGACGAGTCGAGGTGTGAGGAGGAGCGAAGATCAGGCGATCGCAGACATGGATCAAGGGGGAGTGGATTGGCGACGAGTCCCGTTTCCATTGGAAATCGCGGATCTCCGCCGCCGAGCGAGGCGGCCCTGGCCGCATGTGGGGGAGGGCACCTCCCGGATCCGTGGATTTGGCGACCGCGCACCAAATCCCTGGATCGCTAATCAGTGCTTGCGCGCCCCCGAAGGAGGAGCGAGGAGGGAGTCGAGGCCCCAGACCCCCGACGTCGTGATTTTTCCGCCACGTTGACCCCCAGAGGTCTGGCCCCCTTCCCCGGGACCGGCTCTTCGTCCCGAGTCGTTTTTTTGTTGACGGCCAGGGCCCCGTGCGGCCGAACATGTAGCGACGAGCCTCCCGTCGTGTTTTTTTTTCGCAGCGCGAAGGGGGGGGGCCCGGGGCCTCGCGAGGCCGAACACGGCGACAAGCTTGCCGCCGTGTTTTTTTTCCGCAGCGCGAAGGTCGCAGGCCTAGAGGTTGACACCAACACCAAAATCGGCGGTGTGCCTCCACCGGGAGAAGAAGATCCCGACCTCGGTGATGGTGGTAA